TCTCCACAGGAGCTGCGCGAGTGGTTTGCCCGGCGCTGGAGCCGTGCTGCAGGAGCTTGAGGTGCTACTATTACTGCTGACCCTGGGGTCGGCGCTGGAGGTACTGGAGCCATTGGTCCTGGAGGTGCTCGTACTTGCGGTACTGGAGCTGCTGGGACTGGGGGTGCTGCTGGGGCTGCTGGAGTTGGTCCAGCTGCTGGTGCTGCTAGAGGTACTAGAGCTGCTGGGGGTGTTGGCGCTGGAGGTGCTGCTGGCTCTGGTACTTCTGAGGGTGCTGGAGTTGGCGCTGCTGGAGCTAGAGGTACTGCTGGCGCTAGTGCTGCCGCTGGGGGTACTGGTGCTGTCCCTGCTGTTTGAGGAGGCGCTGAGCGGCCGCGGCCGTACTTCGTTCCGCTCCTTGAGCAGGTTCTTGGTCTCCCGCCTTCTATTGGTCCTACTCCTCCCTTAGAGTGTCCACAGCCTGTCCAGTCGCAGTCACAATTATAGCCTACCTCCCCCTTGCCTGCTACTTCTCCCTACACTGGTCCTACTGAAGGTCTTGCTGAGCGTCGTGGGCCTGCGTCTTGTCCTGCGTCGCCTGTTCGTGCTGCTCGCACTAGTAGTCGTGTTCCGCGTCCGCGTCCTCCTCCGGTCCCAGGCACACACCACATAGCACTGCGTCCTTCCACTGCTCCTCTGCGTGTCCCGTTGCCGTCTCCTCCTGAGTCCTCTCTTCCTGTTCTTGCTAACCCGGCGTCTGACTCTCTTCGTGCTGCCAGTCCTACTGTCACGCGTCTCCTGGCTACTGTTGTCACTGACCCTTCCTTTGAGTCCACTGCTGCGTCTGCCTTAGTTGCTGAGCTTGTCGATTTTGCTGCTCGCTGTCGTCTAGACTACGCCGCTAGTCTTGTTGCTGAGTCTGGGTCTGTCTGTCCTCCGTCCGTCAGGGGTGAGTGTGCTCTTAGCACGGACGTCCTTGAGGACAGGCAGGAGGAGTTCCAGTGTTTTGCTGCTGCTTTGCCTCATCTCGTGTCCATGCTGATTGCCCCTGTGGGAGACCCGGATGCACCAGACATCCCGACTCCTCGATCGTACGCTGAGGCGATCGAGGGTCCCTACTCCTCACAGTGGCAGTCAGCCATGGACTCAGAGATGGCTTCCTGGAAGTCCACAGGCACCTACGTCGACGAGGTTCCCCCACCTGGGGCGAACATCGTTAGTGGCATGTGGATTTTCAGGGTGAAGCGGCCGCCGGGTTCTCCGCCTGTTTTCAAGGCACGTTACGTGGCTCGAGGCTTCAGTTAGCGGCACGGAGTTGACTGCCGACCCGTCGCTGTTTCTGCGCACCGACACTTCGCTGCCGCCGTTCTACATCTTCGTGTACGTCGACGACTTGGTCTTTGCCACTGCTGACACTGCTGGACTCGCCCACGTGAAGTCCGAGCTGCAGAAGAGACACACGTGCACAGACCTGGGTGAACTGTACAGCTACCTTGGCTTGCAGATCACCCGGGACAGAGCACACCGCACCATTACCTTGACTCAGTCACACATGGTGCAGCAGGTCCTTCAGCGCTTCGACTTCACGTACTCCTCGCCTCAGGCCACTCCTCTGTCTACTCGCCACTCGCTCTCAGCTCTGCCTTCGCATGAGTCCGTAGAGCCGAGTGGCCCGTACCCAGAGCTTGTTGGCTGCCTCATGTACCTGATGATCTGCACTCGAACTGACCTTGCATACCCTCTTAGCATCTTGGCACGCTATGTTGCTCCTGGGAGACACCGACCAGAGCACATGGCTGCAGCGAAGAGGGTGTTGCGCTACTTGTGCAGTACCTCAAGCATGGGGCTAGTACTTGGAGGGCGGGGTTCAGTGGTCCTCACCGGTCACGCAGACGCTTCTTGGGCTGACGACCAGGCTACGCAGCGGTCGTCACAAGGTTACACCTTCAGCCTTGGTTTCGGCTTTGTTTCGTGGCGGTCTACCCGCTCGTCTTCTGTTCTCGGCTCCAGCTGTGAGGCTGAGATCTACGTGGGGGCCATGGCTGCACAGGAGCTACGCTGATTCACCTACCTGCTGACCGACCTGGGAGAGCCGCCTCGTTCTGCTTTAGTTCTGTACGTAGACAACAAGGCCTCGCTGGCCTTGTGTCGGGAGCACAGACTGGAGCACAGAACGAAGCACATTGCTCTTCGTACTTCCTGGCTCGTGAGCTGCAGCAGCGTGGTCAGCTGCGCCTTGCTTACGTGGCCTCTGAGGCCAACACTGCTGATATCTTTACCAAGGCACTTCCGCCTTGTGATCATCAGCGCTTATGTACGATGCTAGGTCTTGTGCCTATTTGGCCTCACTTGCTCACTTCGTGACCTTGCTTGTACTGTGATCTATCTATACCTGCACTTGCTTGTTTACCTTTATATATGATCTTGCATGTGAACTGGCCTTGTGGCCTTGAACTTGTGCTCGGAATGTGTGGTGACGTTGTGATCCACCCTGAGCCTGCTTTGCTTTGCTTGACTGGTCTTGTGACCTCTTGTTCAGCCCCACTTTGCCTATGGGGGTGTGTCAGACTTATATGCTATAGTCTGTGTAGGCTGTAGTGGGGTAGACAATATGGGGTACAACACTTTTAGGTTTTCCTACTTGTACCCACCTATTTCCCAGTGCATTCACTTCCTCGTTCTTTCACAGCTTATTGCAGCACTCTTTGGGGAGGGCGGCGTGAAGGCGGGTGTCGCTAGTGCGAAGGTGGGTAATGAGATCGGCAACTGTGGCAAAGGTGGACAGCTTAGGGAACAGGTAGGGCAGCATGAGGTGGCTAAGCTTAGCTGTGGTAGGGGAGGATTATCGAGCAACTACAGCGTCGTACAGGGTCTTAGCGGTCTTGTACTCGCCAAAGTGCGTGAGCTCGGCTAATGGAAGGTGATTGCGAATGGCTAGGCGCGCAGCAGCATCACGGGTCTGCCACTGGGAACTGGCGCCAAGCTCAGCTGTGGAAGCAGGAGCGACTGAGGCATCAGACGTGTGGTCAAAGAGAGAGACGTTATCCTTGCTGGCGCTCATTAAGAACAGCTGCAGGTCATCGAGCCAGGTCTCAAACTGCAGAACGTGGAGGGTGGCCATATCTGCTGGCGCGGGACTGGCAGGGCAGAGCGATTTCAGTCAAGCGGTAGTAGTAGCAGCAGTAGCACTAGTAGCAGCAGCAGCAGCAGCAGAAACCTAATGCCAGGCCCCTATGCAGCGTGGCACGGCTAAGCAAGGTGGCGCGGCTCGGGCGGTGCGGCGCGGCTTGGGCAGTGCGGCGCGGCTCGGGAAGTGCGGCGCGGCTCAGGCGGTGCGGCGCGGCTCGAGCACGGCGAGGAAGTGCGGTGCTGGCAGCAGCAGGAGCGTAGCAGTGGCTGCAGCGCTGGCAGGGCGGGCAGGGCGCTTAGGGCCGCGTGCTAGCTGTGCAGGCAGATCGCGGGCAGAGCGGGCGGCGGGTAGGCGCAGCAGGCAGCCGCAGCAGCAGGGCAGGCGGTGCAAGGGGCTGCGGGGCAGCGCGACGGGCGACGCGCGGGGCGTAGCAGGCGGCCGGCGAGGCAGCGCGCAGGGCACGCGGGCTGCTATCAGGCGGCGCGCAAGCCGGCATGAGCTGCGCGCGGGCTGCGCGGACAACGGGCGGGTTGCGTGGGCTGCTAGCGAGCGGCGCGCGGGCCAGCAGAGGCGACACGCGAGCTGCTAGCGGGGCGTGCGCGGGGCTAAGGCAGGGGGTGCACGGGGCTGCGCACCGCAAGGCAGGGCAGGGGGCGGGGTAGCGCGGTAACCGCAAGCGGCAGATGGTGGGCCCGAAAAAAACGGTTCTAAGGTCCTAAGGACCTAATGCTCTTAATACCATGTTAGAAGAAGTAGCAAGGATGATCAAATATCGAGAGAGTTTGGTACAAGTACAAAACTTAAAGCCAGCAGCTAAAATAGTGACCCCCCCCCTTCTAGTTGGGTCCACCTGAAAACAGAGTTTTTTTTTTAACACTTCGGAAAGTTGGAAGTGCTGTGTTTTTTATTTTTCCACTCCATATGAGTCTCATTGTGAACGGAGGACATTTTGACCATGTTTACAATTCTGACTGGCAGCGAAACTCACACACAACTGACACATACTTGTGTGCGAATCTGGCGTAAGGGGTTGCAATGCCTTTATTCACTCGAGCGCTCATGTGACTTCACCAAAACTCACATCAATCAACAACACAGGGAAAATCCCACCAAGGCCACTGAGGCCGGAATTTCGGCTTTGACAACTCCTGTGCTGGCACACAGAGGGCCACTATTGGCCAGGGTTACAGTTTCCTTGCTGGCACCGCCACCTCCGCTAGTTGGTATGTTTGTCAGACTTGACAACAAGGCCAGGTTGGCTGGAAACTTGGCTGACTGCAGCAACAATGACCACGATGAACAGCCTTGGGGCATGTCTGATGATGAGTAGGATCTGTATTGCGTGCAGCATTAAAAAAAACTGACCAGGCTTTACAATAATCTTACACTGATGCGACAGGGTAAATTTTTTGAAAGTTAAGAATACCCTGATGGGAAAGTTTTTCTATAGGGGGTCACACTGATAATCAGTTTTTTGAGCTAGGGGTACACTGATCTTAAGGGTATGTCAAATCCAAAAATTTGCCCTGCTGTGGACACATGTCCCAATCGATGTGTCCCAATCGAGTGTACCGCTCCGAACCGAACTAAACCAGAGACGCGAAAATTTCGAAACTAGGGTGCAATTTGGTGTAATACGATGCAGTGCGGTAGAAACGATTGGGACACATCGATTGGGACATGTGTCCACAGCGGAATGTACCCTAAGGGGTTGTACCCCACATTGGCTACCCCACTACAGCCTACATCCAATTGAAAAACATATTTAGTTTGACAGATCAGAGTGCCTCAAAACGAATCTAGGGGCCTGCACCTTGCACAAGATCTTAACATTTACCTTCTGTAGTCAATTAGCTTTGATACAATTACATACATACAAGTGGAAGTCAGCCTATCGCCGCAATGGTTGCAAGACAAGTACAGATCTGACTGCGTGGCCCAACTTATCTACCCACGTCAGACTGCCGTAGGAGAATCTCGGGGATTGCTTGGTAACGATAAACGTTACACTGTATGTTACGCTCTCGCCAACCCGAATGGAGAAGAACGGAGGAGTCACCACGACCTTCACTCCCGACGGGGGTACAACTTTCGCCGTGTAGTTGGACGGTGCGTTCGCGACATTGGTGACTGTTCGCGTCACCGTTGCTCTCTTTACTATTCGCGAAACGGAAATAACGGGCCGGTTGAGATTTGCTGGAGCCAGAGGACTCAATGTAGAGTTTCTGAACAAGGATAGAGTGAGGCCCATATCTTGGCCAGCTAGAAAATCCAGGAGGTCCTGAGCGCTCATGTCGTAGGTCAGGCCGGGATCCAGCAGGCCGGGCGGGTTGATCTGCCCCGCGCCCATCTCCCAAGGCGTGGCGAGCGCGCCGCTCTCGAGGAGGATGGGCTTGGCAATGTTGTTGGTGGTGGCGGCGCTGGTCATCATAGCGGACATCACCTGCGCCGGACTCCACGTCGGATTGCGCTGCACCACCAGCGCCGCCACGCCCGCCACGTGAGGCGTTGCCATGGACGTCCCCGATAATAGCCCAAAAGTCACCATTCCTGCGTCTTCCAGACTCCCACCGGCGGCAGACCAGAGACTTAGACCGGGTGCGACTAGATCTGGCTTAAGGATGTCGTTGGTGGGGTAGGGGTGCGCTGGTGAGTCTGCCGGATCGGCGAGGGGGCCTGAGGAGGAGAAGGAGGCGATCACGGGGTGGCCTGGCAGCTGGCGTATGGTGAAAGACGCCGGTATGCTGGCCGTTGCACTGCTTGGAGAAAGGGTGGGAAGTAGAGGGGAGATGGGTGGGGCTGGTACTCTGAGTGTTTCGTTGGAGGTGGAAGTGGAATAAGAGGGTGGGGGAATGGAAAGGGCGTAAGAGTGAGGGCGCATGCATGTTCGTTGCGACAATTGCTGCTTACGACAAAACTTTGTGAGCATACGTACACTACGTACATCGTTTTGCCCAGCGCTGCGTGCAAATGGAGCAGCAGCAGCAGCAGCAGCACCGAAACCACAGCCACAGCAACAGGCATAGCTCAGCTCGCATCGCAAGCTGCAGCACTCACCCGCGCGTCTTCTTCATGTACGCCAGCAGCGCAGCGCCATCTTTGGCCGTGAGGTGCAGCACGGGCACGGTGGAGGGAATGTTGTCATACAAGTTGGAGTCGCCTTTGGGGTCGTTGATTAGGATCATCGCAAGCCCCCCGCCGCGCGTCACTTCCTGCACCTTCTGCCAGATGAACGCCGTGCCGCGCACGCACACCACGATCTTGCCCGCGATCATGCTTGGGTCTAAGCCGCCATCGAAGCAGTACTTGCCCTGAGTCATGCGGGCACAGAGCAGCACAGACAGAAGGTGGGTGAGGGTGGAATTGACGGAAGGGGAGGAGTAAGGGCAAGTAGGAGCAGAAAGAACAGAGGTACGGGAAGGGAGGTACAGCAGAGACCAGGTGGCAGTAGTAGACCGGCGCGTACCTCGTAGGTGCCGCCCAATCTGGCGGTGGTGCCGTCGATGAGCGGCAGGCCAGCAGCGGTGCGCGCATCTCCGCCCATGCCCGCCCCCACGAGGCTCTTCCTATTCCCCATGGTGACCACGGCGCTGAACTGGCGGCCGATGGAGCTGGCCCCCACCGTCAGGTAGAACGGCGAGAAGTTGCTCACTGTGCGCCACGACGCCCACGCCGTCGGTGGCCGCCCATCGTTCCCTGCCGCCATCACCATCACCACGCCGGCTCGCAGCGCGTTCAGATACGACACGTCGGTGAAATAGTCCGTGAAATCGTATAGCCCTGCAAGCGAGATGGAGATCACATCCACGCCGTCCAAAATCGCCTGCTCTACTGCTGCCTTGACGTCCGCGAGGGGCGCGGAGGCGTCGTGAGCACTGCTGCGCCAGAGGACCTTGTAGATGGAGAGGAGTGCGCCGGGCGCCATGCCGCTGGCTGCGCCAATCAGCTGCCCGGTTTTGCCTGTGACGTCCACCCCGCTGTTGCCCGCTGCCGCCCTGGGGGTGCCACGGAGGGGAAGAGGTGGGGACAGGTTAGGTGAGCACGGGAAGGGCCACGTGGCGAAAATGTGGGAAGCAAGGGTGTGGAGAGTGCAAGAAAGGGCGGCCGGAACATATGGCTACTAATGTGATTGGTAGTATTGCGGTGCAAATTGGCCACTTCCCACTTCCCCATCGAACCTACATTTTCCACTTTCCCCCCATCCCCCTTCCCTCTTTTTCCCCTTTTCCCTCTTATCCGACCAACTGCTCGCGACCCCATGGGCTCACCAAGTGCAGCAACTCACCCCGCACACCAGGAGCCGTGGTTGAAGGAGTCGCGCGGCGAGAGGTAATCGACCGTGAGGTCGATGCTGCCCCGTTCCGCCGTAAACGCCGAGTAGATGGCCCGCGCGCCCACCACCTTGCCCGTGCACGCCTCAAAGTCCCCCGTTGTCTCACACGCGCCCGCGAAAGTGGAGGGCGCGGACGGGGACGGCACGCCGGGCTGGGGAGTGGGGGGGAAGGGGAGGGGGAAAGGAGAAGGGAGAGATGGTGGGCAAGGGGGAAGGGGAAGGGAAAGTGTGGGGTTGGGATTGTTAGCGTTTGGGTCTTCTCCTCCCTGAATCTCTGGATGCGTGGTGACTAAAGATCGAAACTTGCACCGCGCACGTGAGTGAGATGTGGCCACATCATGCCATGTGGCCTCTCCCAGTCTCCCATCCCATAACTGCCTCTAAACGGATCATTGGGAGTGTACGGCATGCTGCCGTGTACGTGAGTGGGATCTGCGACAGCATGCCCTGTGGATCCTCCCAGCACCCTTTATTTCACTACTGCATATCTGCCTTCACCGCCCTCTGCGCACTCTCTGCTCTTTACCCTTCTCCACCCGAACCCCGGCGCTCGCCGTTCTCGTGCGCACCTGGCTCGCGAACGACGGGTGCTCTGGCCAAATGCCGCTGTCGATCACGCCGATCACAACGCCCTCCCCTTTGCTCTGCGCCCCTTCCGCCACCCCCGCGGACCCACCCGCCAATCCGCCGCGGGACGCGTTCCAGAGCGAGGAGGGGAGTTTGAGGAAGGCGGGCGAGTGCGTGGTGGCGGGGTACAGCCGCACGCTCGCGCGCACTCGCGCCACGGCGGGGTGGCGCTGCAGCCGCCGCACCTGCGCGGGGGAAAGCCGCGCCGCGAAGCCATTGCTAAGGTACCGGTAGCTGTGGAGAATGCTGGCGGGGGGCACCCCTGCAGACGCCGCGACGTTGCGCTGCTGGCGCTTCAAGAACGCGGAGAATTGCCGTGCCTTGGCGGACCGCACGAGCGCCTTCCCCTTCCCCCGCCACTTGCCCCGCTGGCGCTCCCATTCCTTGCGGATGCGCCCGCCCAGCGCGCCGCTGAAGCGGTCCGTGGCGGAATGCAGCGCAGAAAAGGCGGAAGCAACGCGCGCGGAGGGTGCGGGCGGAGCGGTGGCGGGGAAACCCGCAAAGCCCCCGCGGTAGGCAAGGACGGGGGGCGCGGAGCGGAGAGAAACGATGTAGACCGAATTGGAGACTGAACGGTAGGCTGATGGGGGAATTGGCCGAGGTGACGCGTCGGGGTATAAGCAGGGAAGGTAGGAATTTGGACGGGATAAGGCAACGCTGGGTGGGGTAGGAAGGGAACGTTCGGAGCGATAGAGAAAGCGCCGGCGGCGGCGACGAGAGGAGAATTACTAGTGAGGGACGGAGAGGGGAAACGACGGGTACTAGGGACACATAACATGACGAGGGGCAGCAGCGGGTGGAGCGGCGAGTGACGGCCGAGGAGGGTCTTACGTTGAGCGCCGAACGTGCCGGTGGCGCGGTGGAAGCAGCAGCAGGGCAGCAGCAGCAGCACGAGCAGCAACTGCAGCACCGCCGCGAGGATTCGCCTCATCATAACGACCGCGGCCCTGTGCTAACCGGCTACGTTAGTGGTCTGCTCACTGAGAAACTGCTGTTCGCGCTACTTGAGGGGTGCCACTGCTAGGGTCATTGTGGTTTATGAACAGTTAGGACAAGCTGAACGGCGCGCCTTTGGTTGGACTAAACCCCAACGCGCTGCGATCAATGGTATCATCTATGCGACGCTGTTAACTAAATGAGGTTGATTTGACATCCTGCACACTCCAATCTGGTGATCGTGATAGCGAACTCCCGCCAAGTTCGCGTAATGGAGGCGCGGTCTTGGGGGCGACTATTTCTTGCTGGAGCTGATTAGATGAGCCTTGGCAATGCAACTAAGTGCGTCTGCGGTGAGGGGAAATGTGTGGGAAAGTTGTCGGCAGCGGAATCTTGAGTCCATCCGAGCCCTGGTGGGCGCAAACCCACCAGGTCCCTCTCCTGGTGGGTTTCGAATCCACCAGGACGCGGAGCCGGCGGAAGCTTTCTGCCCTGGGCAAAAAAAACTATTCCCTATCGCGACCGGCATACCGTTCGGGAGCCTCAACCCTAAATTTTTTGGGTTGATGCTCCCGAGCCGCATGCCTTCCGAGTGGGTTTTTGTTTTTTTCTTGCCCGCGGGCAGATCGCTTCCGCGAGCACGCGGGAGCGATCGCGCAATCGCCCGTGTTTTACTGTTACTGCATGAACCTTTGATGTCGGCAGCGGAATGATTCCGGGGAGCACAGTGGTGCATGGACAGAAACGCTTTTCAGAAGCAACAGACGTGTGGACAGACTAGTAGTTGACTTCCGTTTCAACATTCAGAAAATCTGTTCCATCGTCTGTTTGCGTGAGTCACGCCTGACATCCGCATTGTTAGCCGCAAGCAATCAGGGATCACGCGATTCTCTGCTTGGTTGTCTCCGTCTTGTCAGTGCAATGAGGCAAGTGTACAGATGTTCTGGTTTGGAGGCCTGCGCTAATATAGTTCCTTTTCCGAGTCGAATAGATGTTCCCTTTGTAAGTCCTATGAGTAGCCCCTCCTTTATAGTCCCCTATTCAGCAAGAATTTTTGGCAGGAAATTTTGGCATGATTTTTTTTGGCAGGTTGACACCTGTTCGGTGCATGAATCCGTTCCTCAGCCAATCCGAGGCCCCCAAAGTTTCTTGAAGATTCCAGAAGTTTCTAGAATATTTGAAGGATCTACGTTTTATTGTATATTGCTATGATGTAAATCTGGATCGCGCTAGCTTCTACTTCTGATCGCGCGGTTCCTAAGGCGCTCAACAGTGGCGTCACATGAAGTTTGCTGTCCGGAGAAAACAGAACGATAAATCACATAGCGTCGCATATCTGAAGTAAACGGTCACACCCTCAATTCCCTTTCGCATTGTATTTTGTGTACTCCTACCATGTAATAAATGAATCTAGAGAGAATTTGGCTCTTACTGTATAACCAATGAGATTGGCAGCTAGAATTGCTTTGGATGTAAGAATTGGACGGTTGTAAAACACGAAGGCGCCCAAAACGGTGATATCACATCGCATACAATAACAATTTGTCGCATTTGAAGCAATTTTCTTTACGCAGCATTATTTTTTGTTCACCTAATGAACATTTCTTCGCTACTTGACTGAGGTTTGGCTACTAGAACCAGCTTAAGAAATCCCAGCAATATTGCCGGTACTTACGCTTGTTCTCACTTCGTGAAACATTGTGTAGACGCCAAACAATTTATCCAGTGTAGGCGTTGGAAAGATGGTCAATAATTGGGTGTACATAAATTGGTGATTCATCACTATTGTACCACGACATTATCTCATTCGACCGAATCACACTGACCGCGACTTTGAGCCTCGCACTAAGTGATTCAAAGACGGCTATTTACATACACAAATTGATAACCGTACAATACTTCAAACCGAACAAGACTGTCCACCATCTTCAAAGAAGGTAGATCTCAGTACCTGGCTGTGGTTAAAAAAAAAAAAAAAAAAAAATAGGGCTCATTTTACCCATGAGATGTTAACACACAATGGGGTGATGGTGCACGAAATGCTTTCGGGTATCAGTATAGAAAACTGGTGTAGAATGAGTCAAGCATTTTCAGTCGGTGGGCAGGTGAGTAAACTATTGAGGGGGAAGGTGGTAGGTGGGAGGTGGGAACGGGAGGAGAGGGGGAAGTTTTTGGATGGTTTGGGGATGGGTGGGGCGGTGCACTAGAGGGGGAAGAATTCGGGGAGTTTGATCAAGCAGATGGTGGGAGGGGGAAGTGGGGTCTGAATCACCTGCAACAGTGTTTTGGAGTACACCCTGTTTCTCGACCCTCTCACCTTGCGCGATTCGCTGCTACAGTGCGGTCAGGTGCCATAAACCGTATGGCTGAAACCTGCGGGCAAAGCCGCACCAGCTGACGGAGTGGTACTGGGGGCAAATTTTTTCTTTATCGCTGTATACCCTTTTCAACCGCTTTGAAACGCTTGTTTAATGTTCTTTACCATGCAGCATCCTAGCTAACCGCTTTCTTGTGAATGTGCTTGTACCGTCGGTGATAAGACCATTTCAAACGTGGTGACGTTCTACAACCAGTGCATGTTCTGCAACCAGATGCTCTGCTAGCGCGAAACAGGGTGTAGAGGTGTCCACCTGAAGCGTTTGAAATCGAAGGGTTGATCCATAGTCAGATTCAATACAGTAAAAATAACGTATTTCTCTGCCCGCTGTCCTAATACAATACACTCCTCGAAAACTGAAGTGAGCCGGTAGCACCACCGACCAAGGAAGGCTGTTTGTGTGTTGGGAGGAAGGGGGGGTAGGGTGGTGGGGAAGAGAGAGGCTGGGGGAGGAGCTGCACTGAGCACTTCGGCGTGGCAGTTCTGTTCGATCGAACGGCAGCACCATCCCTGAGGAGGCTGTCAAGATATTGGCTAGGTTGGCGAATCCTGCGCCTACAGAACAGCGCTCTGGTTGGCGTTTTCTTCAGACCAGACGGGCAACGAGAATCTTTGCGCTGATGCCAGGGAAACAATGAATTTCCTGGTTTACACTGAACTGCAGTATACATGTAGCTTTGTCACCAGCTGTCTGACTCAACTGGATCCTGATTTCGAGGTAGGTTTACGAAGGGACCCAGAATATTTGAACTTAATACACGCGATGCTCGTTTGACTGATCCCAAGTTTCCCGGTAAAGAAAATTCTAAAAGATTCTAAGAATTTCGCAAATATCGTCAACGTCGCACCGAGCGAAAAAAGGTTTATTGAAAATCTATAACTCTTCGTTGACATTTTGATGTCAGTCTTTTCTGTTTGACTTCAGCTTCTGTGGTTCGTACTGGTTCATAACTACCGCAACTTGCTCGAGGGGCTTGTAATGTAGGTGCAACTAGATGGTAAAAAAAAAACACGTGTGCAGAATTGTCATCCTCGCAAAGGCAAATTCGCGCGAAGGATTTGAGCATCGTGTGTACGTGGCCCTTTACAGTCAATCACCCCCTTCACTGTACACATACATATACATTTCTTGAGGGACGCGGCGAATCGCGCGACTGTCTTATTCCCGTTGACGTAGATCGCACCGCAGGTAGGGCGACCATACTCTTCGCGGTTGAATCGACTTACATTTATTTACACGTTATCATCATTCTGCGTACGGTATATTTCAGCGTTACAGGTGCCATTCGGTTTAACGGTCAGAATGTCGAAGCAAGTATCGATTCTTTCGCGCACGGAAGATTTCTGACGTGTAGCGGCACTACAGTCCAGTTGCGCCGATGAGGTTTGTCTTATGCGGATTTTGTATGATCTTCTATATTTGACGGTGTAAAAGAAACTAAAACCCCTAAGGAGCTAGGCACCGCTTTCAATGCCTCAACCCTAAACACTTGCCAGTCCCCGTGTTTAGGGTTGATATCTCCCTAATTGCACCGCATGAAAAGCATGAACCCTAAACACCTTGCTTGGGTTATGACCTTAATAAAAAAACCTAAACATCTTGCTTTCCGTGTTTAGAGTTGATGCCTCCCGAATTGCGTCCCTGGATTTAGGGGTATATTTTTCTGTCAAACCCTGCTTAGATTTAGTGCTTTGTAAAAAGTTGCACAATATATTGCACTGCCTGAGTCAGCAGGCAGTGCAATGAGTCAGCGAGCAAGAAAAAAAAAAAACCCCTACTTAGGAGGCATCAACCCTAAATCCGGATGGGTTTTAGTTTTTTTCTTCCCGCGGGCATAATGCTGACTCGCTCTGTAGCGTCGTTTAGTAAAACGGTAGTGCTACCGACGTTACCTACGCTACCGAGTGAGATGTATTGAGAAAGTCGCGATGCAAACGTGGCGAAAAAGAACCACCTGACACACCCACTATATGAACAATAACAAGAAAAAAACCTACACGAAACAGTTACACGTAGCAGGACCACCAATTCCCGCTCATTCAAATTGGATGTTACAATCGCAAAGCGTTTGTAGGTCGATTCATTTGGGGGAGGCTTTGTCGCCCTACTTGCGGTGCGAGCTTGGTCGAAAGGAATATAAGAGGCGGGCAATCAGCCGTGTTGCGCAATTTTGCCTGTAACCATGCGAATGGGTGCTTAGGATTGATGCTCTCTCTATATGGGCTTGAAAAATGTTAAACACCTGACTGAGTTAAAATTTTTTCTCTTACACAGTAGGCTTGTCGTTTTAAGAGATTTAGACCAATGAGCGTCGAGCTACGTAGAAATCGCACTAACTCTGCGCTGTAATCGAAAACTAGACAGTAGCCCTGCCCAAGAAGTGATGAAACCGCGCAATTGGCTTACAATTTCGAAAACCGTGCTTTGTCAACTGAAAGCCCTTGAGCTTTGGGTTTGTAGTTGATCCCGCATTGTTACTGGAACAATATGCCAAAAACGCAGAACTGTCGCTTCTGGCGCACAGTTACTGCCCAGCTTTCGATCACAGCGTAGAGTTAGTGAGATTTCTACGCAGTAAAGTTTTTATTGGCCAAAATGTCAACAGACCGACAACTCCGCT